TGGACAGATGCCAAGATGATGGACATGTTCCGTAGTGTGGTTCTGGATTGGGGTGATACTGATGAAGGTTAAAGTGTGAGCCCCTGGGGCAGGAAATAGATCGAGATGTTTTGTAACTGTTTCATGTTGTAATGTTGTATTGGTTGGGACCACTATGTATTAAAGCAATGACGTATATCTAAGACTATATGTGTATTATCTTTCGGGGAGCCATTACTCTTCCTACATTATTTTATGAGTGGACCCCACATGATTAAGCTTAACATTTATACATCACACACTATCAGCTTTGGAAGAATCTCTCCTACTCACGCAACATCTCTCTATAAACTTCTCATATATATATATATATTTTAAGCCTCAAATTTCTTTTCCATTTTCTGGCTAATAGGTAGGGTTTTCGGGCTCAGTTCCTTAACAAAAAATGTCCCTCTCATTGTCATCTACCACATAGTTAAAGGACTTAATTTTCGGAGTAGCGGTAATTATTTTACGAATTTTTGAAAATTTTAGATTTAAGGCTTCGGAAGAGATTTTGGGCCGCTTCGATTCGGATCCAGGAGCCGCGCCTTTAGAGCAGTTTGCTCTCCTCATCGTTGGCTACGTTTCCACGGAATAATTTTTCGTTCCACCGCCGTTGATCGGCATTAACTGCGTTGACTTTTTCGGCCGGGGATGCATTTTGGCTACTTTTGAGGTAAGCCATTACATTTTGACTTTAGTTGCTTTCGTTTACTTGAATTCTTGCTAAGTGTGCTTAAAAATGATAAATTTTGGAATTTTGAATGTTGATTATGTGTTTACATATTTATGTGGTAAAACATGTTCTAGATGATGTTAATTGTGTATATATATTTGCTTGGTTGCAAAGGTGTTTAAAGAACATGTCTTACGTTGAAATATTTTTTTTAAGGTTATGTGTATATACATGATGATGATGTTGATGAGTATGTATGGCTAAATTGATTAAATGCAAGCATGTGTATGTCAATTTCATTCATGCATGATTCCATTCGTGGCATGGGCATGGTTCGGGAAAAGTGAAGTTGAAATGATTCTTTTTAAATAAATGCATTTGGAAAAGATTGTGAGAAAAGGTTTTGTAAATGGAACCGGGTTTCGCAAGCCCGGGGCTAATTCGACCTAGAAGGAGCGTGGCCTGGTGTAAGGCGTGAAAAAGTTGATACTACGCCAGAAACTGTTGTTGGATTTGGAACTGGGGATAGCTATCAATCTCACCTCGGTAAAGTCGGTAAGCGGTTTTCGGTGTGCGTTGTGTTAAAACGGACTTTAATCAGAAAAACGTTGCATTTCATGGCATTTTGACACCTATGATTATGACTCATTATGTGATACTAATCTTTTAAATTGAATGATGTGGACTGTGATTTTGATAATTCCATGTGTGATTTTGATCTTCATTGTTATTTTAGGCATTACCTACTGAATTGTTGAGCTCACACCTTATCTTAATATTTTCAGGAAATCAGAGAAGTATGGACATATGACTTATATTCACGAACTTAGGCGACACTAGAAATCTTTATAATGTTATAAGGCTGTATGTACGGCTATGGCGACCTCGTTTATGTATTTAAATTCCTTGTAATCACGTAAATAAAATGTGTATATTTTATGGCCTTGTATTTCCAATTATGTTTCTTGGACATGTATAAATGAAATTTGAAATATGCACGCTACGGATGGGATGCGCGTGAGCTACTTTAAATACTTATTTTTAATGATCATGATTATGGGACTTTATATCATAACTGTCGTGAGTTGGGAGAGGTTTTACATTGTGCTTTGGCTCACAAAAGAGCCCGGTTGGTTACAGGACCAGAGAGGTTGCAGACTGCTAAATTTGCAGCTTTCGGGGCTGTCGGCTGTTGGCAAGGCTAGTCAGCAGACCGAAAGTGCATTTTTCATGTCATTATAGAGAGTTATACACTCAGGAATATCGTTTCGGCTGGTTGACTAACTCAGTCAGCCAACCGACCCAGCAGTTTCAGTCAGCCAACATAAGGCTGTCAATCGATCGGCACTGCCATTCTACCTTCATTTGTGTTCCTTCTGTGATGTTAGTAGTTCAGTGTTTTATGACCCTTGGGATGATGTGTTTATAGTGTATTGACGTTGGAAATGACTTTTTACCCTTAGTTGACCTTGGGTTGAGGTAAGGGACTGGTTAACGATTTAGACCCTCATGTTCGGGTCGTTACAAAAACTTTATGCAAAAATTCAAATGTCATAGTTCTGCTATATGTGGCATCACTGTTAGTTAAACAATACATTTTTGTTTAGTTTCAACATAAATGTAACCAAATGAGTGTGATAGACTTGATACATGGTTAAATTTTCTTCACTTATTCTCTCTTTATGTGTGTGTGTGTGTGTATGAGATTGAGATGATATATATATATATGTATATGTGTAATCTTTGTAGTGGTGAAAATGTTAGTCTGGTATATTTAAAATAGTTTGAAGATTAAATAGATAATTTAACATTTCTATGGGTCAATTGATAAGTCAATTCATAAGTCAAAGGGTAATAAGGTATTTTTACCTTTTGTCAACGGTAGTTGGGGTGATTGTTCAATTTTGCAAATTTGGGGATGTTATCGTCCAAACCGTGTCTAAGTTGTGCAATTTACCCTATGTCACACAATGCGGGAGCGGGAGCGGGAGTGTAAAAATGGCAAAGTCTAAAATTAGTTGAGAGCGGGAGCGGCTTGAGAGCGCATGTATATAATATATTTTATGTTATATATATATATATATATATATATATATATATATATATAGTTTTTTTTATTTTAAATTCAACTAATGTTAGAACTTATAAAATGCCCATATAAAAGGTCCAGTCCCACCCATCTATCCGAGCCCAACGCCATAACAATTTTAGTTCTCTGGAAAAAAATAGAACTTAGCCCATTACCATTAAGTATAACCCTACTCTTTTTAAAAGACCCAAGCTCATGTTCTATTAAGTATAACCCTACTCCTTTTGCATTTGCATCATTTAGACCAGCAGCTAAGTTGCTAACGGCGGAGCTCTGTATGCCAAGAAGTTATCTCGATGGGCAAAATCACAATCTACAGCAGCATCACAAAAAATTCACTATCCATTGAAGGAGATCTCATCGGAAGATTAGGCTTCATCTTTGGAGATAGAAGTGACTATTGGTAGTGCTTTTTTATTTCATCTTCAGATCTGCAAACACACATATATATGCATATCTCTCTTAGTCTTAATCTTCTCTCTTTTTCTTTACAAAAGAAAATCCGAACGACCATTCGTGCCATGTTTTCCAGTGAGTCAGCAGGTATTTAGGCAAAAGATCGAATTCTAAAAGTGAGTTCATGAATTCGAAAATTGAGTTCGCGAACTCAAGCTCTCAAAACGTCGATCCGCGTTCGGAGCTCTGGAGCGGAAGTCGTCCATGCGAATCATGTGACTTAGAATTTACCCTTATTATTATTATTATTATTCTTTAATAAGAAACTCACTTATCTACATATTATTTAAACCCTTAACCTTTTACTTTGAAATACATAAATAATTTGATAACTACACTGATTAGGTTATAATTTTATTATGACTCAAACTAAAATTTAAATTTCCATCAAAATCAAGGAACAATAATCAAAAGATGGGTTTTTTTATTTCTTAAAAGAAGAAGAGAAAATAATACAAAAGGGACAAGACAAGAGAAAAGAACAGATGAACAACTTCACAATATTTCATTACTGTGTCAGTAGAGAGGAAATAGAGGGATAGGAAGGAAAGGATGGGGCTTACTCAGAAACCTTTTAGTCTCCATTTTTCTTATTTAGTCTCCTCTTTGGAGGAACCAAGCCATGGGAGATGTTTAGTAAAAAATTATTCTCCCCCAAGACACCATTGTGTTAAGTTAAGACGAACTATGTGATAATTTCTTATAATCTATAGTGAAAAAAAAAACCACAGGCCTTGAACTACACAGAGGGTTCCAGTTTCAGAACTTAGTTGTAAAGACGTTCTTTATAATACAGAAAGCACAGAGCGAAAAAAAAAAATGAGTAATATGGAATAGTAGCTGAACAATATCAGCCGTAGTGCCAACGAGATTGTACCACTCTATAAAGAAAGCCTAGTGCTTTTTCAGGCCTTGAAATAATTATGAATCGGAAAATGATTTAATTTCAGAAATAAGAATACAAGTGTGAAGATGTAAATCTACAAATAATTTAAAACAGATCAACATATTGCTTCATTTTGTAAGAATAAAAATACACACATTCAAGAAAAAAAAAAAAAAAAAAAAAAAAAAAAGAACAGATGGATTTCAACCACTACGATCTCTTCTCGAGAATTAACTCTCATTATGCTAAAAATAGGCCTTAGACTTAAAATCACAAGAAACATAAATATTGTTGTAATAACTACTGTTTTCCTTTAAGAAAATTAATGTAGAGTGACAATGGACTACCACCAAAGTATTTGTTTAGTTTTTTTATGCAAGGAGATAGAGAGTGTCAAAATTGCACAGCATGTACGAAAGGGACAACCCAACAACACTACTTATCCTTGTCCATGGACCTTAGCATTCACATTCTTCCTTGTATCGAAATTTCTACCAATATTAAAAGGTTAGTAGCACACGAACTAGAAAAACTGTGTCCTATTTGTCCCCGTTTATTTCTACCAATCATAAATCATCGAATAGTGTTTTCATTTGTCCGAAAAGCTTCAAATTTAGCAAGTTTGCCAGAATGAAATGCCTCCAATTTTAACCTTTGACAAAGGTTCACAGCAATCCAACATAGAATCATCAAACCATCTCCAAGAACCTGTAAGACAAATGGGAATGGAAAATCATAATGCAAATAGAAAAATGCTGCAACTGCGAAAAATTATATTCTTACACCACCAGATCCTAACTTGGGTGGTATCTCTTCATGGCTGAGGGTTTCAAGTCACACTTGGAACACAAAGTGTGCGAGTTGCTTACCTATTTAAATGAAAAATGATTTTGCAAATACTTTATTTCACATGATATACAAGTTATAACAACTTCTCATCATTTTTCCACCATACAAAATCACAACAGTTAAAAGAGGGGCCTGTCCTCTATTTTAAACCCAGACATTGTAGCATTACATCTTTAATTAAATATTACAAAGCACAAATTGCCATCTAATGTTACATGGGCAGCCCTCCACAAAATCTTCATATTATCATTAGTTCAACCCCTCGAGGTAATTTTGATTGCAGTCCCATAGCACACATTTTCGCCGCTAGTCGATTCTCATCTTCCACATTCTCATTTTCAGCTCCTATCAAATACGGTGGGCGTGTATCAATATTTATCTTCTCTAGTGAGACAAAATTCTCAAATAAGTACATGGCGAGCTCAACATCAACCTCGCAGCCAGTAAATCCAGCCAATTCTACCACCTTGGGACATTTGAGCAGACGTTTCTCAGCCCTTCCTTGTACCACCTTCCCTTGCAAAAGGTAGCGGCCAGGACAATCAATATTCCCATAAAAAACCTGCCACACCAATGGTCCGATTATTAATTCAATATTGTTAGAACAATGAAATTGACTTTTGATTCCAAACAATGAAAATGGAATGATGATCAAACTGGTTAAAGCTAAGACCTAAATCAATGCACTTAATCTATTAGCCACAAACAAAATGAATCAAAAGTATTAGTCTACTGAAAGTTAACATCTTCTTTTAAGTAGCCTAGTCCACAAAGGACTGACATCTTATGTATTAATACCTCTAACATCGGTTCCATCTCAGAACAGATGTATAACTTATTGCCTCTATATTAGCATCTAGTTCATACATCACACATTGCTAATCATTAATTCACACGTATGAGGCAAAGAAATAAAGAATTTTTTCACAAACTTTCCTTGAAGGAGAGAGTCGCAGATTAACATTGAACATCAAAATAATAGAAATTGGAAGGCAATGTAGGAATATATTGTCTTCTCATCAAATTTTAAAATATATACACACACACACACACACACATATATATATATTAAAAAACACCTCCTCCAATGGCCGATGCTAAGCCTAAGCTACAAAATCAATGAAAACAAACTAGATGCACAGTGCACCACTGTTCTCAAATTCTTTTGATATTAGGTAAATTTATGTAAGAAATGAATCTTATATAGAGGTCTCAGAAATTTTGTAAAGCAAATCATACATATCTAGAGGGAAAAAAGAAAAAAAGAGCGATGATGTAGTATGAATGCCATTACAAGTTAAAATTACTTGGTAAGCACCCTAAATAACATAAAACATAAGATTCCAGGATAGAATATGATGCACATATTGTAAACCAGAAAGTAAGAGCACTAACCTCAAGACAAAATCTATACAAACAAGGAGCTGCCTCTATGAGGGAAATGCAAGGAAGGAAGCTCGTGATAAAGTTTGAAACCACCTTCAATGTCAAATGCTTTAGATTAATTCAGGAAATTTGGGGAAGTTATTAAATACCTGAAGAGTTCAAATAACGAAATGTATCAGAAAACCTTGAAGAATAAGAGAAGGCACAAAAGAGAGGTAAGTTAGATACTAACCTCGTAATCCAAATCCAATACAAGTGTCTGCAGCTGAGAAATATAGCTTGAAAACAGGGAAAATTTCATAAATTTGCAAAACTGACCCCCCAGGTATAGTTTAGAAAGATGGCATGCACTCTTGAAACACAAGTTTATTTGGTGACCAAAATATTCAAGTGACACCAGACTTTTTGCAGAAATCTCAATGTCTTCCAAAAACCAACAGTACGCTCTTTTCAAATGCTTGAGCGATTGACCATAAACTTTAAGATTGACTAGACAAGCCGAGTTATCAACAGATACTTCTTCAAGAAATGGACAGCTTGATAAAAAACATTCAAGGCATTCTGCAGTTACATCCACATATGTGAAACGGATTGCAGTTAGTGATTCAAGTCTCGAAAAATCCAGTGACCGCATAGATGATAAATTGTAATGCCCTTCCAGCAAATTACTAAGTAATCGTTTAAGATTCAACTCAAGCCTTTGAACTCTCTTCTCCATTGCAAAGTGAACCCAATTATCAATATCAGATGTAGAACTAGAATCCAAATCAAAGTGAATTCTGAATTCAGCCAGGGTTGCACCCTTGTGTGAGTTCAAGACCCGATTCACCCAACTTATATAGTTAGCCCTCTCCACCCCTAATAGTTTCCAATTTCCTTTCCTTCGAACTTTCCACAATAACTTCAAAGCCTCAAAATCCAAAGTACCGGTTGTATATGTCCACAACTCTTTCCATCTACTTGAGACTACACTAGTTCTTGCCGCCTCTTTCATAGGCAAGCAAGAGAGGATGCAAATAAGAATTTCATCCGGCAACTGACTGATCCGATCTTCAGAGTGATTACTCCTCCCTTTACACTGATTATTGCAAACCAAATAACATAGTGAGGATAATTAGTATAAATTAATAAAATTGAATTGAACACAAACATAAGAAATTAGGTAATAACAAATAAGGAGAAAACAACTCCTCTCTTTACACTGATTATAGCAAACCACATAACATAGTGAGGACAATCAACATAAATTAATAAAATTGAATTGAACACAAACATGATAAATTAGGTAAAACAAATAAGGAGAAAACAACTCCTCTCTTTACACTGATTATTTCAAACCACACAACATAGTAAGGACAAGCCGTATATAGTAATAATAATTGAATTGAACACTAACATGATAAATTAGGTAAAACGAATAGGGAGAAAACAACCACGCAAACACACAATAATTCATCACACATAATAATTTAGCGGAGAAATTGACTATTACGAGAAAAGAAAGCTTTATGATTATTATTATATGGAAAAGATTCAATTTTTTTTCAAATTGCTTAAAGGGAAAAAAAATATTGACCTTCTTAAGTGCAAATTTGGAGTTCAGTCGTCTTTGTTTCATTGTGTAAGCAAAAACCCTTTAGCCAAGTCTTCAACTTTGTAAAAACTTCGAACACCCACTGAGGAATTGTTCAAAAAATTACTATCAATCTACAATAAGAATATATATGTGTGTGTATGTATATATATATTACTAAGCAGATCTTGTCACCTGAGGCGAATGCGGAGGCTGCGCGGAGTATCGAAGCAGATTGTTGTGATGGTAATGATTTGAAGAAATATTTCCAAATCCTTCGGCACGAAGGAGTATATAGAATTTGGACGATGGAATGATGGTAAATACACCAATTTGTTTTACGCGCTCAGAGAAAAAAATATATAAAAATTAACCAGCCCAACATGAGTGGGCTTAGCCCATCAGTTTTGCAACCGGGCGTTGATTAGTCCTATAAATTATAAATTATAAATTATAAATTAAAGCCTAACTGTAAGAAAAATTGAGATAAGACCCCTAAGCTTAATAAAAAAAATCCCTAACTTTTTTATTTTTATGTTTTTTAAGACTTATTTTTCATCTAGATATTACTATTTGGGTAAATTGCAACACTGCTTGGACGATGATACTTCTAAGTTTACAAAATTAAACAATCACCCCAACTACCTTTGATATAAGATAAAAATACCTTATTGCTCTTTGAGTTATGAATGACTCATTAATTGACACATTGAAATGTTGATTTACCCATTTAATTTTTTAAATATTTTTAATATATCACACTAACATATATATATATATATAATGTGCTGATTGACTTGGATCGAATCGAATCACATTTGTGTATTTATAAATTATTTGCTCATCCCTTTCTAAAGCAAATTAGAATTCAATTAATTTCAAATCTCTAATATGCTGCGAAGAGACAATTAATTTCAAATTTTCAATTCGCTATTTGTCTTTTCATTCAAGGAGGACAAAATTGAATGTAAAATAGATTATTTTATAATTATATACGAGTATTATTTTGAATAAATTATGGTCATATAGGTGGGCTTGGCTTCAGTTAGTACATCCTATGGTTTGGGCCTTGGCTGGCTGGTACAGTATAGGCTTGAGTTCAGATCATGTCAGGCTTTCATAATTGTACAATAATTATTAAGTGCGCCGTCCTTCCCAATGTTCACCCCTAAATGAGGCGTATTATACAGGGATGGCAACGGGGGGCGGGTTTGGGCGGGTGTGACCATCCCCGCCCCCGCAACCATTTAAAAACCCCGTCTCCGTCCTCGTCCAAAATCGTAAAAATGAGGAGACTTTCCACCCCATCCCCGTAACTGTCTAATATTTTTACCCTCGCGGGTACCCGCCCCACCCCGTTTAAGATCATAATTTATTTATTGTTGAAATAGATTTGCATTTTTTTTGCCCATCATCTTCAGTTTTTCACCATTGCAACTTTCCTTCTAATCAAATTCATTTGTTATTTTAATATTGTTATATAGGGTACTTAATATATATACTTAAAAATATAGATACTAAATAAATAAGGGCACTTAAGTAATTTGTCTATCTAAACGAGGTAGGGCGGTGCGGGGCGACCTCCCCCTGCCCCCGCACCAAACCTGCGTAGGTTTTTATTACATTAAACTATCCCCTCCCAAATATGCTAAACAGTCCCCCAAAATGCCAAAAAAGGAGGCAGGGTGGGGCAGGTAACCGCGGGGCAAATCAAATTGCCATCCCACCGCGTATTCAAGTGGTTGGAAATCAATCATTTCATTTGCTGTTCGCTGAGAAAATGAATTGAAATCTAGCAATTGTTAGACTCTGAGTCATACAAATTTATGTTTATATAGTTTTATATTTATATAATTTGATTTGTTAAATAATTCATTGAAAATTTTATTTTTTGACACCCAATTTAAAACACATTTTCCTAATTTCCATCTGTGTAGAAGAATTCAAGTAGAGTTAATACCCTTTAACATAATTATCTAGGGTGAATTGTTAGGAAAATGAAGTTTTCAATTTTATGCCCATATCAAAGTACCTATTCCATGGTAGGAATGTACTTCTCATACGAAATTTTATTAAGGATTTTTGATTATTTCACACATTGGGAACATTTTTAATATATATTTTGTGTTCTTCTTCTTCTTTTATTTATTTATTTTTATCTTGAACAAAAATGCACACACATATATGTTTCTATGGAGACTTAAATATGACTTTTTACATAACTTTGAGTTATTAGAGTACATTCTTGTTACTTAATAGTCTTACTTTTTTTCCAATAGCTAGATTCAAACTTGAACTCAAGATTTTGAACTGGTCACAAGCATGAATGGAATCTAAATTGAGTTTTAAAATGAAAGGTAGTCAAATTGGAAATTTTTTTATGTCAACTTCTACCTAATTGTCTGCTGTAGAAATATCCTATATCACTAAGACGAATTCTAAATTAACAAGAGACCACTTAATTATGATATCCGGAATCATGAAAATAAATTGAAGAAGAGCCCACTTAATTATTTCTACAGAAAAAATAGAATAAATTACATTAACAAAACACCTAGCATTTTATTTACAGCTGACTAAATTTATAAAATAATAATATTGTCTTTCTCTTATATATAATACAATATAATACTCTATATTATTATAATATAAAAGTATTACACTTTTATACTCAATGTCACTTTTTGATAGGTGACACAATTTGTTAACTCACAAAAAAAAAAAAAAAAAAAAAAAAAAAAAAAAAAAGGTATTATAATTTTTACAAAACTGGATACAATAAATTTTTTATTTTTATTTTGGAATTTTTGAGTTTTTTTTTTTTTTTTTGGAAGTTAAAGCAATTACGCACACACCCTACCTCCAATGAGGTTCGAACCCCTTACCTTTGGGGAGGAATGGGTGATACCACTGGGCCATTTGGTCCTTTAGTCGGAATCTTGGAGTTGCGATCAAGGAAGTAGTAATATGAAAGTCAAGAATTCAAAAAGTGAATTGTTGTACGAGAAAAAAACGGCATTTGGTCCCATAAAGTAATTGGATCGAAATGAAGCGCCACAGTGAGACGTCCCTTTTACGGACAAACTGAGATAAGTCGGCGTCTGCCGATGGGCCGCTATCGGCTTTTCCTTTCGCAGGTTGTACTATTAGTTCCTTCAACACGTGTTTTTCTGTGCTCACTAAAAACCCGTGTGTCTGAACCATTAGCCGGGTCCTTATTTGAACCCGAGGTCGACTATGGGTACAACCGTCATTTCCTATGTCAACACGAAGGATGAACCTCATCCATAAGTTAATAACTCTCCAAAACCATAAACATCACTGAAGGAACTCAATGCAGGGAGGAAGAAGAGAATCGGCCGGCTGGCAGGCATATGTCGATCGGCAGACCTAAGTGGTCGGCCGGCTGAAGCGATGCACAAATGTGCATGCTCTAGGGACTTTTATAAAATGGCCTTTTGGCCGACTGGAGAATAGGGTTTAGTCGGCTGACTAGGCCAGCCGAAAAGCCACTTCCAGAGACCCAACTCTCTAGAATACCCAAAAAATGCCCTATCAGTCAGCTGATTCTCCTTGTCAGCCGGCCGACAGGCCCCTGGAATGCTACTACTTGCAGCGAGAAACACCAGAAAATAGAGCTCGTTATGAACCAAACCTGATATGCAATCAATCCCGAATTCACGACAAACATAAATAGCATCCCATGGACATATACATTAATCAACTTCCCAAATTACACCATCATTTACCCATTCCTTACAAAAGGTTAACATAGTCACTAATTACATCAAATACTGTCAAGAGGTTATAGTTACAAAACATGGCTATGCTTTACACAAAACAAATGCATTTTCAAAATGGTACTGTACAAAATGATCATACACAAAAAAAAACGACAAAAATAAATAACTCCTAGTCCTGTCAAGCTTGTGGTGCATTTTCCTCCGCCACTTCTTTTCCATGCCCTAAAAAATATTAAAATAAAAGGGTGAGCATAAAGCTCAGTAGAAGCAGCCTAAGGCGTTAGTTTTGGGCTCCCTTGAGTCACGTAACACATAAAGGAATAAAAAGGAATCAGGGTCATATAATGGGAGTCCATACAACATTTACAACTGATAAGCAACAAACTTAGCACATAACATAATTCTACAAAATGATGTGCATGACATGAAATATGATGCACCCATCTCAAACCTGGTCTATACCAACCCATCTTTTACTTTTCGAAAATCCGCTAACGGACTTTACCGAGGCGAGATTGATAACTATCCCCAGTTCTAATTCTGGCAAAGCTTGGCGACAGTTAAAGGGCCTAGTATCAACTTTTTCACGTCCTACACTGGGCCGCGCTCCCTCTAAGTCAAGCTAGCCCTGGATTCGCGAAATTCGGTTCATTTTAAAAAAAAACACTTCCCTTTCATGAAAGAAACTTCACTTTCTAAAAACAAATTTTCCTTTCAAATTTCCCTAAATCCTTCATTTATGTCATGGTATGCTATGTAATGGCCTTTAATCTCAAAATTTCAATTTCATCATTATGTCAAGAATAATATCAACATGGTATCAATGATAGACAACTAAGATTATAACATACTTTGAAAGTTCAATACAACAAGACACCAATATCTCAGGTAAAACATGTACAAAAATCATTTACAAGGAAGCTTAACATGTAAACATATACAACTTCACACTTTAACAATTAAAACCTTTCCAATTCTTTAATTTCATAACAAAGTTTGCAACTTAGGCATAAATTAGTGAAATTTGAAATTTACTCAAATAAAGAGGCAAAACTTTATGCATTAGGAAAACCTCTACCTCAATTGGAGATTATGCCAAGCAAAGCCCGAAATTCACCCAAGAACCCCAAAATTCGAAATCTCCAAATGGTGGCCAAACGGCACTTTGCTCCGATCAAAACGTAGATCTTGACGAGCTCTTCAACTTTGCATTCAAGTTCCCAAATGTTTGGAATAAATTCAAGCTCAAAATTTTAAAGAAAAGAAAAAGAAAAAGAAAAAGTGAGGAAGAGAGGGAGGGGGAGAGCATCTGACTGGTATAAGAGTTATACCCCTTGTGGGTCCCACAAAAGTAATATCCCACTAATAATAAAATAAATACAAATACACCATCACTTTACCACCACACATTAATCATTTAATCAATTAAATATGCAGGATAAAATAATGTATGATACGCAATGGACCCGTGACATAATTATTGAGTACAACGACCCCAGTAGCGGACCCCACCTGGGGACATCCCGGTCCGAAAAATAGAAAAATGCCAAATTGGCAGCCAATACATGTCAATAGTCCTGAACTCAAGGAAATGTCCCAAACAACACTCTGACACACCCGACACAACCCACGGTGTCCGGCACGCAAAACAAGAAAAGACCAAAATACCCTCAAAAATCAAAAAAATTCCAGAAAATGGAAAAATGACAAAAATCAGAAACATTAAAGACACCGAATTTTTAGCGAGGAAATCTCGATTGGCAGAAAAGACCAATTGTTGTGGGAAAAACCCTCGTGAACTACACCGTTTAGAGCAAAAACATTCAATAAAGGCCTGTTTGATTTCTTACTTTAGCGACGGTAAATGATTTTTAAAAATAAGTGTGTTTGATAAAATTTTAGGATACCGCTTAATATGGTAACTAAAAGAGGCTAAAATTTTAAGCGATGAGAGGGTTACTTATCGCTTATCGCAGAAGACGGTAAGTTATTAGGTTTTAAAACTATTTTTTTAATGATTACACTACCCTCAAATAATCACGCTCTCTCTTCTAGACTTCTCTTTGCAATTTCTTTAAAATTCTCTGTTCGATCTCTTTGCATCTGGAAATAGAGTGAGTTCTCTCGTTGAAAAACTCTTCTATATATATTCGGTTGGTTGTTACTTTTTTTATTTATTTTTATTTTTTTATTTTTTTTAGAGAACAAATTCTTTAAAAACATATAAAATTTTACCAGATTCCCATAATAATAATAATATATAATAATAATAATAATAATAATTATTATTATTATTATTATATATTATTATTATTATTATTATTATTATTATTATTATATATTATTATTATTATTATTCTACTACGTATTATATATTATAAACACGGCTCCTTGGTTAACTATTTAAATTGATTTAACACCATAATTATTTATATAGGAAATCAAACAGGCCCTTAGGAAATCATACAGACCTTTATATTTTAAATTTTCATCAATTATTTGTATAATATAATTCTATTTCTAGATAAGAATTTTATTTTTTTTATGATTATTTGACATTATTATTCATTGTTAAATTGATATATTTAATTGAGTGAATTAATGTCATCATTTTATTAAAATTTTTATATTATAAATATAAAATTGTTATGAGTATTATTGAGGACAAAAATGTAATCTGTACAACTTTCAGACTTCAGCTTTTGTATATAACAAACAATCTTAATAAAGTCAGTAATTCAAAGTAAAATATTATCAAACGGGTTTTCAAATTAATACATTCAGCAACACCTATGAGAGTTGTTTAAGTGGTCATGAGAGAGTTGTTTCCTCTTCATTTTTCTTATTTAGTCTCCTCTGTGGAGGAACCAAGCCATGGGAGATGTCACAGGCCTTTTAGTACACACACAGTTCCAGCTTCAAAACTTAGTTGTAAAGATGTCTTTTTTTGCTGTTTACAAGTAATTATAATTCCACATTTCTATCAAAATAACAATGATGACACGAGAATTCAAGGCTGAGGGTTTCAAGTCCCACTTGGAACAGAAAGTGTGCGAGTTGCTTACCTATTTAAATGATAAATGATTTTGCAAATACTTTATTACATATTATATACAAGTTATAACAACTTCTCATCATTTGTCCACCATACAAAATCTTACATGTTGTAACAGTTAAAGAGGGGCCTGTCCCTCCTTCAAAGTATCATTAGTTCAACCCCTCGAGGTAATTTTGATTGCAGTCCCATAGCACACATTTTCGCCGCTAGTCAATTCTCATCTTCCACATTCTCATTTTCAGTTCCTATCAAATTTGGTTGGCGTGTATCAATATTTATCTTCTCTAGCGAGACAAGATTCTCAAATAAGTACATGGCGAGCTCAACATCAACCTCATGGCCAGTAAATCCAACCAATTCTACCACCTTGGGACATTTGAGCAGACGTTTCTCAGCCATTCTTTGTACCACCTTCCCTTGCAAAAGGTAGCTGTCAGGACAATCAATCTTCCCATAAAAAACCTGCCACACCAATGGTCCGATTATTAATTCAATTTTGTTAGAACAATGAAATTGACTTTTAATTCCAAACAATGAAAATGGAATGATGATCAAACTGGTTAAAGCTATGACCTAAATCAATGCACTTAATCTATTAGCCACAAACAAAATGAATCAAGAGTATTAGTCTACTGAAAGTTAACATCTTCTTTTAAGTAGCCTAGTCCACAAAGGACTGTCATCTTATGTATAATACCTCTAACATCGGTTCCATCTTAAGAACAGATGTATAACTTATTGCCTCTATGTTAGCACCTAGTTCATACATCACACATTGCTAATCATTAATTCACAGGTATGAGGCAAAGAAATAAAGAATTTTTTCACAAACTTTCGTTGAAGGAGAGGAGATGCAGATTAACATTGAACATCAAAATAATAGAAATTGGAAGGCAATGCAGGAATATATTGTCTTCTCATCAAATATATATATATATATTAAAAAAGACCTCCTCTAATGGCCGATGCTAAGCCTAAGCTGCAAAATCAATGAAAACAAACTAGACGCACAGTGCACCACTGTTCTCAAATTCTTTTGATATTAGATAAATTTTAGTAAGATATGAATCTTATATATGATATCAGAAATTATGTGAAGCAAATCATCCATATCTAGAGGGAAAAAAGAAAAAGAGACAGACGATGTAGTATGAATGCCATTACAAGTTAACATTACTTAGTAAGCACCTAAAATAACATAAAACATAAGATTCCAGGATAGAATATGATGCACATATTGTAAACTAGAAAGTAAGAGCACTAACCTCGATAGAAAATCTATACAAACAAGGAGCTGCCTCTATGAGGGAAATGCAAGGAAGGAAGCTACTGATAAGGTATGAATCCACCTTCAATGTCAAATGCTTTAGATTCCTTAATTCAGGAAATTTGGGGAATTTATCAAATACCTGAAGAGGCCAACTAACCAATTGTGTCAGAAAACCTTGAAGAAGAAGAGAAGGCACAAAAGAGAGGTAAGTTAGATACTAACCTCGTGATCCAACTTCAATACAAGTGTCTGCAGCTGAGAGATATAGCTTGAAAACTGGGAAAACCTATCTCTATAAATCATAAATTTGCAAAACTGATCCCACAGGCATAGTTTAGAAAGATGGCATGCACTCTTGAAACACAAGTTTATTTGATGACCAAAATATTCAAGTGACACCAGATTTTTCGCAGAAATCTCAATGTCTTCCAAAAACCAACAGTACGCTATTTTCAAATGCTTGAGTGATTGACCATAAACTTTGAGATTGACTACACAAGCCGAGTTATCAACAGATACTTCTTCAAGAAATGGACAGCTTGATAAAAAAACATTCAAGGCATTCTGCAGTCACATCCACATACGTGAAACGGATTGCAGTTAGTGATTCAAGTCTCGAAAAATCCAGTGACCGCATAGATGATAAATTGTAATGCCCTTCCGGAATATTACTATGTAATCGTTTAAGATTCAACTCAAGCCGTTGAACTCTCTTCAGAGTGATTACTCCTCCCATTACAGTGATTATTGCAAACCAAATAACATAGTGAGGACAATTAGTATAAATTAATAAAATTGAATTGAACACAAACATGAGAAATTAGGTAAAACAAATAAGGAGAAAACTAACCCTCTCTTTGCACTGATTATTTCAAACCACATAACATAGTGAGGACGAATAAGGAGAAAACAACCAAGCAAACGCACAATAATTCATCACACATAATAATTTAGCGAGAAAATGAGGATTAAGAGAAAAGAAGCTTTATGATTATTATTATATGGAAAAGATTCAATTTTTTTCAAATTGCTTAAAGGGAATAAAAATATTTACCTTCCTAAGTGCAAATTTGGAGTTCAGTCGTCTTTGTTTCATTGTGTAAGCAAAAACCCTTTAGCCAAGTCTTCAACTTTGTAAAAACTTCGAACACCCACTGAGGAATTGTTCAAAAAATTACTATCAATCTACAATAAGAATATACGAGACAGAAAGTATATGTGTGTATATATATATATTACTAAGCAGATCTTGTCACCTGAGGCGATAGCGGAGGCGATAGCGGAGTATCGAAGCAGATTGTTGTGATCGTAATGACTTGAAGAAATATTTCCGAATCCTTCGGCACGAAGGAATATATAGAATTTGGACGACGGAATGATAGTAAATATAGAATTTGGACGACGGAATGATAGTAAATATACACCAATTTGTTTCACGCGCTTAGATAAAAAATAGGGAAAATTATATATAAATGGAGTCAAAGTTTCATATTTACTTAGAGGCTGAGTCAAAGTTTCATATTTACTTAGAGGCTGAGTCAAAGTTCCATATTTCTCTAAAATGGATTGCTGAGGTGGCACATGGTTTTAAACTGTTTAGAAATTATGGTGCCTAAAATACCCTTCCGCGTCTTCGAAGGTATTACTTTTTTGAACTGAAGGTACTACTTTTTGGCGTCTAGGTACCATGTTTTTTAAACACCCGCAAAGGTACTACTTTTTCTCCGAATGTACTACTTTTTTGAACTGAAGGTACTACTTTTTTGTTCGGAAATGGCATTTTAGGCACCACAATTTTTTAAACAGTAAAAAACCATGTGCCACCTCAGCAATCCATTTTAGAGAAATATGGATCTTTGACTCAGTCTCTAAGTAAATATGGAATTTTGACTCCATTTATATGTAATTTTTCCTAAAAAATAAATAAAAATTAACCAACCCAACACGAGTGGGCTTAGCCCATCAGTTTTGCAACCCGCGTTGATTAGTCTTATAAATTATTTATAATAAATTATTAATTAAAGCCTAACACTAAGAAAAATTGAGATAAGGCCCCCTTAGCTTAATAAAAAGAATCCCTAACTTATTTATTTATTTATTTTTAAGACTTATTTTTCCTATAGATATTATTATTAGGGTAAATTGTAACACTGTTTGGATAATGATACTCCTAAATTTGCAAAATTAAACAATTACGTGAATCACCTCAACTACCTTTGACACAAGGTAAAAATACTTTATTGCCCTTTCACTTATGCATGACCTACCAATTGACCCATTGAAATGTTAATTTATCCATTTAATCTTTTAATTATTTTTAATGTATCAAATTAACATTTTCATCACCTTAATGTATAATGTGCTGATTGGATTGAATCAAATCAAATTAAATTCACGTATTTATAGTTTATTTGCTGACGCCTAATACTTTCTAATGCAAATTAAAATCCAATTAATATCAAATCTCTAATGTGGTGCAAAGAGTCAATTAATTTCAAATTTTCAATTCGCGCTATTTGTCTTTTTATTCAAGGAGGACAAAATTGAATATAAAACAGATTATTTTATTAGTATTATTTTGAATAAATTATGGTCATATGGGCGGGCTTGGCTTCAGTTAGTACATCCTATAGTTTGGGCCTTGGCTGGCTGGTATAGTATAGGCTTCAGTTCAGATCATGTCAGGCTTTCATAATTGCAAGTACAAAGAGCCCGTCCTTCCCAATGTTCACCCCTAAATGAGGCTTATACAAGGGCTTGGAAATAAATCATTTCATCTGCTGTTCACTGACAAAATGAATTGAAATCTAACAATTGTTAGATTCTGAGTCATACAAATTCATGTTTATATAGTTTTATATTTATATAAATTGATCTATTAAATAATTCATTGAAAATTTTATTTTTCGACACCCAAGTCAGAACACATTTTTTTGATTTCAATGTGTATAGAATTCGTGTAGAGTTCATGCCCTGTAACGTAATTGTCTAAGCGTGAATTGTTAAGAAAATGAAGTTTTCAGTGTTATTATGCGCATATTCCTTGGTAGGAATGTACAACTTATTTGAAATTTTATTAACGATTTTTGATAATTTCACATTTTATTTATTTATTTTTATCTTTAACAAAAATGCATGCACATATATGTTTGTATCAAGACTTGAACACTACTTTCTACGTGACTTTGAATTATTAGAGTACACTCTTGATACTCAATAGTCTTACTTTTTTTCAAATAGCTAGATTCAAACTTAAACTCAAGATTTTAAGCTAGTCACAAGTATCAACTGAATCTAAATTGAGTTTTAAAATGAAGGGTAGTCAAATTGGAATAATTTTTATGTCAACTCCAATCTAATTGTCTATAGAATATATCACTAAGACGAATTCTAAATTAACAAGAGACCACTTAATTATGATATTTGGAATCATAAAAATGCATACTAAATTGAAGAATAGCTCACTTAATTATTTCTACAGATAAAAAATAAATAAATAAACAAAATAAATTACATTAACAACACATCTAACATTTTATTTCCCAGCTGACTAAATTTCTAAAATAATAATATTGTATTTCTCTTATATATAATACAATATAATACTCTATATTATTATAATATAAAAATATTACCCTTTTTATATTCAATGTCACTTTTTGATAGGTGACATATGAATTTTAAAAGAGGTAAAAAAAATAAATACCGAACAATATGTAATTTTGCCGAACTCACAAAAACAATGAGTACTCATATAATTTACCAATATTAAATAAATAAAATAACACACATAATTCTTACAAAACTGGATACAGTAAATTTTTATTTTTGGAATCTTGGAGTAGGGATCAAGGAAGTAGTAACAAAGGAAGTCAAGAATTCAAAAAGTGAATTGTTGTACGACAGAAAAACGGCATTTGGTCCCACAAAGTGATTGGATCGGAATGAAGCGCCTGCAAATGGAATTCGCATGCTCTGTCTTTTCCGGAAACGATATTCCGTAGGCACATTGAGTGTCCACGTGGCACCACTCTCTGCGTGACATGTCGACATTGCTTCTCTGAACAGTTAGACGTCCCTTTCACGGACAAACTGAGACAAGTCGGCGTGTGCCGGCGGGCCGCTGTCGGCTTTCGCTTTCGCAGGTCGTACTGTCGGCTCCGTCGGCGCGTGTTTTACCGTGCCCACTAAAAACCCAAGCTCTCAGGGTTAAAGCTGAACTGGTTTTTTTTGTGTTTTGAAACCAGAACCGTTGGATATTCCGGCTTCTTCCTGAACCGTTCGAGCTTTAACGAAGCGTTCAGAGTTTGCTGCATATGGCACCTCTGCTGACCTGATCATTGGCATTGGTCCCGACAAAGTTGTTTCTTCATCGGAAATTAGCAAACTGTACGGTCTTGGTTCAAAAGTCTTTATCACCCTTGATAGTTGTCAATTTTTACTGTTCTTTGTCCCCTTCTAATTTAAGTACAACCATACGTTGGCAAACTAGAATTGGAACTACTTTTGAAATTTTCAAAAAAACAAAAAAAAATTGTAATCAAACTAATGCCAAAATTTAGAATAAATGTAATAGTAACATCTTCCATAAATTTTTTAATTGCGCCATTGAGGAAAAAAATTTATTATGCAAAGATTTTAATTATGGTTCTAAGAGTTGGGCATTACGTGTGAGTTGCAAATAAAGTAAAAAGTGAGTTTAGAGAATTTTTAGTGGGAAAATTTCAATTAGCAGAAGAGGCCAATTGTTATGAAAAAAACCCAATAATATCATGGGGGTGGCCTTTTAATAATAACTAGAATAACAAATTGCACGTGAGTACTGTGTTTGTGGGTGTCATGTATGTGAGAGAGAGACATAGATTGCCGGATTGAGGTAGGGACTGGTCGGCGATGGAAAGAATTGTCGAAGGCAGAAGGCCTCAAGGTTGAAACTATATTGTCTGATATACCATATATATTCGCACGAGGCAGAGATGAGAGAACCAAAGTGTGAAAGAGAAAAAATAATATTTTGGGAACTTATATAGTGAGGGGCATTTGTGAAATTTCAAGGGGGGCATGGTATAAAATGAAAAAAAAAAAAAAATCAAGTATATAATACAAAAAAAAAAAAAAAAAAAAAAAAAAATTCCAGATGAGGCATTAGCCTCTGGTCCCCTTGCAGGTCTGTGGCTATATGAAGCAAAGTATAATCGACTCCTACTCAGGCTTACACCTTATCACTCTACCAAAACTAATTACTGACATCCCTAACTTTGCGACTCCCTCCGTCCAATAACTCTCAACCTCATGTTTATTCATAATATCTGTAAAAGGATCGTTGGTAGATTAACCAACACTCCACGAGCATCTGGATCCCTTTACAGTGTGATCTACTTATTTTCTTAAAAACTGATTTCCAGAAGTTTGCAAGAAATTCTTTTATGATCGGTAGATATGAGATCTTCAATCACGCCAATCCCGATCCAAAAATGAATGAACAACCTAAAACACTCTTTGTATAGTCTGTGTGCTCTCAAAAACTCACACCAAAAAGCTTTCTAGGGTTATGAAAATATTTACGCAAAAAGTCGCCAAATAGTGTGTGAATATGAGTTTATATAGATAAGTATTTAGTCCTATTAGGATTAAAAAAATATATCAATTTTCGTGCTAGAAAATCTCCATAAGTCACACTCAAAAGGTAACAGAAGTAGGCAAAAACACAAACTTTCCTTTTTGGTTCACCAGAAAGCAACCAGTTCAAGAGTAAAGTCCAACAGATTGGATTGCTAAGAAAAATTTTATGAAAGAAAATTCAACTTGTAACCCCATTCTAAGTGATCCTCACACCTTACCATGACTAGTAGCAGTTCATTGTCAAACCAAAAATATCGTGAGTGACTTCACTTGAAATTTCGGCATTCCGAAACCAAGACTTGATGATAAATACTCCTTCTGTCTCACTTTAATTGTCCATTTGTATATCACGGTTCTCAAAGGCGACAATTAAAGTGGGACAGAGATAAAAATAATTACAACTCACTCAAAACTAATTTTGATTACCAAAATATGTCAATAATAATTTTACATCTTAACATTACCCACCTGGTAACAAACTATAGCAAGACCACTTTAATGGTATAAACAAAAAAAAAACATAGTGGAGTGTTCGAGATTGATGATAAGATGTGAACCGTAGTTGTTATTTGTGTCATTCAAACAGTAATAAAAAGAAAAATTTATAAACATAAAATTCATGATTAAAAATTATTTATAAAATAAAAAACTAAACTATATAAGCAAATGGAATGTAATCAGTAGATAATAATGAGATACCATCAAGTAGATCCCCCATGAATATGGCTACTGATCACTCAATGCACATTGGTTGGTTTGTTCTGTCATGAATAGCATCACTATTTCATGATACATCTTTCACTTAATTATGAATAAGATAGTGAATCAATTGTAAAGTTTTAGTACATTATCTAATAATGAAGACTGTATCAAATATATCTTTTATTTATTTTTTTACATCAAGTCATCGAGTACTGTTTTACCACCTGGCATAACTTTGTATCACTTAAAAATGAAAAAACTCACCACCGCCCAACAGATAGCATTTTCCTTTAGCTGTATCAATTCATGCCATATTTTCGCAAATACATATCTATACAATGACAAGGCCATTTTGGTCGTTTCAGAAAGTGGTATACAGTAAAGCAAATCTCTGCAACACCTTGTACTCTGATCTTCTCTTTCATCTTTCTAGACAAACATGCCCTTAGTCCACTTTCCCTCTTACCCTTACATTCCCTCTAAAGACTTTCCCTCCCCATTAATGTCCTCTCTATCTCCTCTTCTCATCTTCTTCAAAACCCTCTTAAAACCTTACTCTAGTCTTCACACTTCATATTTCACTCTCCAAACACCCTCCAATGGCGGTCTCTTCTTCCTCCTTTGCTCTCACTCTCATCTTCGTTTTCCTCTCAACCCTGGTGGTCGATCATGTAGTTTCACAACCAGTTCTCAAATCGGACGAGCAAGAATCGGTTTACCGAGTTCTCGAGTCGATTAACTCCGACATCCCCTGGCGCTCTCTCTTCCCCGATGACCTCTGCACCTCCGCCCCACACGGCGTCGTCTGCGACATCTTCGTTGACGAAGCCAACAGCAACGCCACCACAGAAACGGTTCACATCACCGAACTCAATTTCGGCTACGTTTCCGACTATTCTCCAAACCCACCATGCTCGTCCAAGTCTACCATCAACCCTCTTCTCTCTTCCTTCAAACACCTCCGAAAACTCTTCTTCTACAAGTGTTTCACCGAAACACGAGTTTTTCTGCCTGATATTTCGAGTTTCAGATCTTCTCTAGAAGAGCTCGTCTTCATAGAAAACCCATCTCTGGTTGGGTCTCTTGGTGGCGAACTCGGTAACTTGACGAGCCTAAGGAGGTTAGTCTTGACAGGAACGAATGTTTCTGGGAGTATATCAGATGGGTTTGGCGATTTAATAAACTTGGAGCAGATTACAATATCGAGAAATGGATTTATCGGTGGTGAAGTTTCGGAAAATTTGGGGAAGTTGAAGAAATTGAGGGTTCTTGATCTCAGCAACAATGGGTTTGAAGGGAACGTCCCAGAATCACTCGGAGGACTAACAGAGCTCTTGAAGCTCGACCTGGGTTGGAATCGATTTTCCGGGAAAATCCCAGAAAGTTTGAGCAATTTGAAGAGTTTGGAGTTCTTAGACTTGAGTTTTAACAGTTTCGGTAACTATGGAGTTCCTCTGTTCTTAGCAGAGATGCCCAGATTGAGAGAGGTGTATCTGAGTGGAAACTTACTCGGAGGGCAGATTCCGGAAATTTGGGAGAAACTCGGGGGTATTATTGGAATTGGGCTATCGGGCACCGGACTAGTTGGGAATATTCCGGCTTCAATGGGGGCATTTCTGAGAAACTTGTGTTATCTGGGGCTTGACAATAACACGCTGGAAGGGACAGTACCAGAGGAGTTTGGTTCTTTGGAGTTGCTGAATGAGGTGAATTTGGAGAACAACAATTTGAGTGGAAGGCTTCCATTTTCTGCTGATTTTGCCGGTAAAGTTGGGGAAAAGCTAAAGTTGGCTGGGAATCCACAACTGTGCATTGACAAGGGTTTGAAGAGGTCTGCTAAAATCAGTGGCAGTTTGGGGCAATTGAAATTGTGCAACAAACCAGCCATTCCCAATCCTGTCCTTTTCAATGGGGTTTCTTCAATTCTGCATGCTTCTCACTTGTTGATGTTTCTAGGGTTTTTGTTTATCATTTGTTGATGTTTCTAAGGTTCTTCTCTTATCTTAGTAATTAGAGTGTCAAAACAGAGAGAGATTAGGCAGAACAGAAGGAACACATGATACTAGTACTACTACTGACTTGTTGCATATGAAATTTTTGGGTTGTAGTCAAATGTAATGAAAAGGGCACATATGTAATTAAAAGTTGCAATCAATGACAACAACATATATCTCTATCTTTGCTAATTTGATTTTTCTATAAATGTGCTTTGTGTTCTCTTCCTTGAATGGGCCATAGAGGTAATTGCATTTATGACTTATCATGAAGGTGGAGACAGATAGCAATAGCCATATATATATATACACACCCATATCTTATATCATCACGATTGAGGTGGTCCACTTGATATGGAAAATTCATGGATGTTAGGGACTGAAATGTCCTTTTCAGTCCACATCCACTGCAATCCCAACATGGTACACTTCTGTTCGTTTATGGCTTCATGCTTATGACTGGAATAAATACTAGGACTAATGGTCACAATCACCACATTTGACAATAGCTGTGAAAAAGAACTAATACTACCATGTGTTTGATAAATGTCATGCAAAAATTTTGGTTTCTTTCAACTAAACAAGCCTCTAGCAACTGTGTAACAAGAAAAAACAGTAACATCAATTGTGCAAGAAATTTCATTTTAGTGCTCTCTTTCCCTTTAAAAGAGCATTCGAACTTCAAGGTTGACAAAGCTCTTTGTTCATGTATATGTATATTGTTCGATGATCCTGTATGTGTCCTACAAATGGTGGCTTTTGATCCAAATGATCCTGCCATTTATGGACTATTTGGTCTTCTTTCGGCGCGGTTTCTTTGGGATGTCTGGCTGGTCCCCTGAGTGTGACTCTGATCTAAGGGACAAGTCATGGACTAACCGGCTCGGTTGAGTTTCTTTAGATGAGTCCTTGGAGGCACCTGCGGAGTGGCGTCGTCTTGACTGCGATTTGGTCGGGGATTCAGCCATTAAAGAATCATCTACTGAAGCTCGACGTCTTGATGACTTTGGTAATTCTGGCAAGTCTTTGGCCTGAGATTTTGGGCCTTTTTCGCTTGAATCTACAAATACATAGGCCAAAGGATTTGAAAAAAAAAAAAAAAATACATGTATGGAACAATACAATTCATATTTAACAAACAAGAACTTGCCTCAAATCCATAATGTATTGTACTAGTGCCTAAAATTTTCTGACTAAATGCAACATCTGTAATTGTTAATGCCATGCACATTCAATTTTCTTGAAAAACAAATGTTGGTTAAAACTTACAAATATGCTAAGCAAGAACATGAAAAGCAATTTTTTCAAGAACTTTGAGGATGATACATCATACAAGACAAAGACAATAATTGTTTTTTTTTTTTTTTTTTTTTTTTTTCCCCAATAAATTAACTCTGTTTTCATAATATAATGTTCTCGAAAAACAGAACAAAATAGGTCCTATGTTTTTCATGATTTAGGAAGAACTATTAAGAAATAAAAACTTCAGACCTTGTGAGCCCTTTTGTGTTTGAGGGTTCTCTTTTGCTTCTCCATTGATGCTTGAGGGTGTTGACTGGGAATTAAACTCCTTCATCTGCACAGAAGTAGAATAAGGCTTTATGTTTCTTAATTTGAATACACATCAAACTCAAAGCACTTATTAGCCTATCGTTCACCATTGTACCATGAGATGAAGAAAATATAAAATATTAATATTTTTAAGCTTTAAAGTATAATCAGAATAATTTTCCTAACAAAAATAATAAAATTTACCCAGCTCGGAGTTTCTACAGATTGTCCATCCCATCCAATGTGAGCCACATGCTTCACATCTGTTGGATTGCCAATCTGCATTTCTGGTTCTTTTTCATCTTCTTCTGCATCACAATATTAATTAGAAATAATTTTTGGAAAATGCTTTTCTTCAGAATTCCAAATCATGGAAACCAAACAAACAAATATATATATATATATATATATATATATATATATATATTTCCCTGTTTTTTCTTACTAACAATCAAGTGCTCTAGAAGTATAAACTGATAAAGGACTGTGTCTCATTATAGTAAAATGTATAGAAGAATTGAAGAAAATGTACACACCAAATATTTGAGCAATGTATCTTAGGCCTTTAAGAAGGCCCTTCATCGTTGTGTCCACCATTCAAAACTTTCTCCTTGACAAAATGTTGATGCCGGAATTGTGGATTAAACAGATATAACATGGAGAAAGCTAAACAAAATTTTCTGTGGAAACAAACATCATGCATGACAGAAGTGGAACCATTCCTGTTTAGGATTTAAGAGAAACCATCATCATATGAAATCTTTAAAAGAAAGCTCAATGCAATGTCATTAATTCAACTATTATCGGTTAAGCCTTCCCAACTGAGTGAAAAGAAAATCAAAAGAAAATTGAACATGGTATGTAACATATTTAGTTAATTTGAATATTCTGTACTGTTTGGTGAAAAAGAAAAGAAAAGAAAATATTAAAAAAAGCTGTTTAAAGCAAATCTTTCGTCAATTCAATGGCAATGTATGGTTTGTTACTAGTACCTATTAATCAAAACCAGAAGCAGATCGAAATTTCAGGAGTGAGAATAAAATTACAGTTACAGATTTATGAGAATGCTAATTTTAGTATGGTTTTAACTTGGCTTGCTTAAAATGATCCGTTCACTATGAAAACGTAAATAATTTAAAGATTTTTTTTATTTTTATTTATTTATTTTTTTTTATATCAGAATAATTTAAATACTGAGAAGAGGCTTAAGGCCTTCAATTTCTTCCTTTCACGATACTGTGTTTGTCCCATGCAAGCCGAGCCTTTGGGCCAGTCTATCTTTTTGGGTCTCCTAAGGGTCTAAAATGAATATTTCCTCTTGAGTGGGCTCAACGAAGCCCAATTCTATTGTAGTGTTTGGGCCTCTCAAATTAAACTGTAGTCTAATACTTTTTCACTTTACAATTTTTTTTTACTTTATTATTATTATTTTTTTCACAAGGCAAGAAATATTAAAAGTTCAATTAATAATAGATGAAGATAGTAGAAGTTTGGCACTCTAAAATCTACCAGAAGTACTAATTCACTACATCTACTCAAAAATTAAAATCTATAGGATTCAAGTCTTCTTACAATAAAGGATGAAGGAAGAAAAAAAAAAAGAAGTTAACTTTAGTCTAAACCTATATATTATGTTCGGAATATCTTGTTGAGTGTTTTGGCATTGCTTTTATATAAATTAATATATTATTAAAGCACGATATTCTCAAATTTAATGTCTTCCTTAATTGTTACAATTACGAAGTTGATATCTGGTTAGAGATAAAAACAAAGTTCTTTAATTTGAACTTTTGAACTAGAAAAAGTATGACTGGGAACTTCCTTTGAGTTCACATAGATTTGCTCCTTTGAATTATTATTTTTTATTTTATTACTCAGATACTTGACTTATTTTCTATAACAAATTAATTTAAAGTCAGCAATATTGAGTGTGATTATGTCTTCTTCTTAACCATATTATATAAATAATTATATTTAATATAAAAGGTTCTGCAATTTAATGCATTGGTTGTTAAGTTTTTATTTCTCTCTCTCTCTTTTAATGAAGGATCAAGCCGGCTCTAATACCATTTCTTCTAATACCATTTCTTCCAGATTGGGTGTTTCACATGGATCCAACCTAAAAGTTTAAATTATTAGTTAGTACTAACACCTAACTTTACATGCTCGAGACTCTTCTCATTCAAGTTCGATATGTAACAAGAACCTATGACACTTCACTAGTCCATCTTTGACAATATTATTCATCTTTCACTAGCATATTAGCTTTGTGCAATGTAAATTGATAGTCATTTTTTGTTTCTAGTTTAATTTGTAAAAATACCATTTCAAGATAGAAAAAAGAAAAAAAGAAAAAAAAAAAACTCTTCTAATTCTTAATTTGTAAAAACACTTATTTAAGAAACTAAAGTGTGTTTCTTCTAGTTCTTAACTTCATTTGTAACAACTCTTACCTTATCCAGATACAATATTGTCCGCTTTTAACTCCCTCAAACCAACGACTTCCTAGGGGGTTATTCATCCCGAGTTCTAGTAGGTTTACGACCATCACGGCATTAAAACACGTTGTCATAACTTCATTTGTAACAACTCTTACCTTATCCAGATACAATATTGTCCGCTTTTAACTCCCTCAAACCAACGACTTCCTAGGGGGTTATTCATCCCGAGTTCTAGTAGGTTTACGACCATCACGGCATTAAAACACGTTGTCATAGAAGGGTGTTGAATTTACATATAATATTTACCTCATCAACACCCAAGGGATATGGGATCGTGCACCTGTAACTCGCCCAGTGTGGTAACCAGCTGATGCCACCTGCACACGTTCACACATACCTGCCCATGAGTTCATTTATATGTAAAAATCTCAAAAATTAAAATGACATAACTAATAAACATGTTAAACCATCTTTATTAGTATATTATGGGTAAAATTGTAAGGCAAAAAAAAAAAAAAAAAAAAAAAAAAAAACCTCACTCTATTTGAAATTTGCTACGTATAAGTTCTTATAAATAGTTTCAAGCCAAATAATCTTCTTATCTCTAAAATTACTAATAGCACATTACTTCTAGATTCTGATTATGAAATTAGGAAAAATGTTGTTTGTTTAGTAGACAATGGCCATGAGGGCCTTTTGTTAACCTATTAAATTATTATGATTATAAACTACACAATGTGGAGAAACCTCTCCTAATTCCCAACAATTCTCTCAAAACCTAGATAGGTGCGTGTTATTTAATTGTAAGTTTTCTATACATTTATTAAGAGGTCTTTTTAAAAAAAATTTTAAAGAAATACAAAATTATTAGCATTAACTCTTAATTTAGTACTGAAACTTGAGATTTAAAAGAAGTACCCAGGAGATGTCAAGCCTCAATTGCACATAATCTCATTATATTATTAAAATGTTGTAAAATATCCCTTTCTACTATTTTTTTCTTTACAACAAACCCCCTAAATTTATCAGAAGTTGCAAATTACTTTTCTTTTGTCAAAGGAAAGTTGGAATTCTCATATTAAAGAGGTCACGTGCAATGTATGTGTACATAACATGTGGGTTAATATTTTTGGATGAAAATATCATTTAACAAACCCACTTTACCCTTTACAATTGATTTTGAATATGTAAGAGTATTTTTGTCATAGTAATTAGCTGTGGCCGATTTAACACCATAACTCCAACATTTCTCCGAAGAGAAGGGATAATTTGCAACTTTTGATAAATTAAGGGGGTTTGTTGCTCCAAAAATATAATAGATGGGGGTATTTTACAAATTTTTGATATTACAAGGGTTTGAAATTCTAATTCTTATCAACTATGACTGGTTTGTATGACAGGTCTGATTAGGGATGTAATTATCTCTAACTTCAAAGTAAATATATAGAAATAGAGTAGCTGACAAACGAAGAGTCATATAAGAGAGTAACAAAACCCAAACAACTAAAATGAAAATTAATTAAGTTGTGGTCAATTAGATCAATCACATCAATCTCTAATTTTAATTTGGACATTTTGATATAGCCAAATTTCCTTCTTTCTTTATTTTTTTCCCCTTTTCAATACATTTTTTAAAATTATTATTATTATTATTATTACTACTATTTTCACGGATTAAACATGGAATCCGTAAATAATATTTTTCACGAATTAAACATGGCTAGAATTCGAAAATAAGAAAAATCATTGATACACTTTTCATCTAGTTTCAGAGTAGGTATATGGGGTTAGTGCAATTCTACCTCTAGTCAACCTTGATAGATTTGACTAGGGATGTGATTGTCTTTAACTTCAAAGTAAATATTTAAAAATAGAGTGACAGACAAACAAGAGTCAGATAAGTTACAAAACCTAAGCAACTAAGATGAATATATTAACCAGAAAAAAAAAAAAAAAAAGAAAAAAAAAAGAAAGGGATGAACATTAATTGAGTTTAGGTGAGTCTAGATCGCATCAACCCCTAATTTTAATTTGGACCTTTTGATATAGCTAAGTTTCGTTTTTCCTTTCTTTTCTTTTTTTTTTTCTTTTTTTTTTTCTTCATACATATTTCCCAATTTATCAAAGGCTACAAATCACTCTCCTCATACATACGAATAGATCTGTCAATGGATCGGATTGATCAAATCCATATCCTTTTTGTTAAGCAAATGGATTATCGGATTCGGATCACTAACGGGTTCTCGGACTGAATGTCCCAATCCATATCCTATTTAGCTCAGACTCAGATCAGATCGGATTCGAAATCGGATTAAATTAATATTTACTAACATATATAATTACAAAGAGTATGATTTTATTAGTATGTGTACTAAGAGATTTATTAACATGTGGATGAGAACACCACAATATTTTTATATAACATTATTATTATTTTGAATTTTTGGGTTACCTTTAATACAATTCTAACAAGTGTATTGATATATATATATATGTGTGTGTAAAATTATTGATAAATAATTATATATATATGATAAATAATTATATATATATATAATTATTTTTATATATAATCTCAATCGGATCGGATCAGATTTTTATCGGATCGGATCAGTATAATCCATATCCGATTTGTTAAGTTAACGGATTATCGGATTCGGATCGTAACCGGGTTATCGAATTTTTTGTTCAATTCATATCCGACTAATCGAATCGGATTCAGATCAGGATCCGCTTCATTGACAGGTCTACATACAAATGTTAGAAATCTAATGTTAATGCGCACATGACTTGCACATTGATTGATTATTTTGACAAAAACATCCTTTTACACACCTATTTTACCCTTTAGAATTGATT